GTAGTTGTAAACATCATGATAATATATTAAATAATCCAAAGTATTCAGAATACGTTACTCTCATTGAGTAAGGTAAAGGAATATGTTACAAAATATACTTTGGGGCATGTATTCTGTGGAATACATTTTAAAGGTGACCTTCCCAACACTGGTTGAGAACACGCTCTTTACATAGCTTTGGTTCCTCCTTTCAAGGACTTGAAGTGCCTCCCCAAAGAGTGACAGAGAGAGAGAGTGGATAAATGTTTACAGAGTGTTTTGTTAACATGAATGTTCAAGATGTTCAATAAACATATTAAGTGCCTAAATTTTCCCTTTTTTCTCGATTGTTTGCTCATGCAAAATGAAATGCGATTAATATAGAATAAAAATGGATGATATCTAATCGTGATTAATCAAAATTAATCCACAGTAACCCTGTGATGAATCTGATTATATTTTTTTAATTGTTTGACAGCACTAGTATATATAATATATTAGTATATACTTACCTGTTAATATAGGTTTTTTAAACAGTTGTACTTCACAGGAGATAACCTATGCTAAAAGACTGAAGAAAACTATTCAAATTCTCTTTGAATTTAAGCATACATTCTTTGTGTTTATTCTGCATTTACTTCATTATATTGCATAAATTTCAGTTACATGCTTAAATATAAAGTTGAAAAAATGTAATTACAACCGGGCTACTGATCAAGTAATTGCGATTAATCACAATTAATTACAGAAAATTGTGCAATTAATTATCTATTGACAGTACTAATATGCATTTGTTTTTTATATAATGTTTAATAGGATATTGTAACCCAGGACAATATGATTTGGTGTGAATTGTATTTTATGCAATTGGGAATTGTATTCACATGAGTGTGAGTAGTTGTAATTTCATTACTGTGGTTCTTTTTTTCCATTGTCAAATTTGCTCATGGCAGCCAAATAATTTAACGTGGGCAACTAATCGTCACTGTTGTTACTAGTCACCCCAGAAAGCAAACAAAAATTTAATATACGTTAAATCAGAGTTATACTGTTATGGAGTTATGTAAGGATGACACGAGAACTTATCACATTTTCCTCCAACTTTAATCTGAGCTTCACTCAACTGGTTTCACAAGGTGCCAAAACATCTCCTAGAACCCAGAAACATTACTCCTCCCACTTTTCTTCTTGCTGGGTGTATGTGGAGTCCCCTGATGGTCTGCCACGCTGTCAACTTAATTTTCATTGAATTCTGACCACTTTTGCACCCTCAGTTAATATTAAAACAATGTGAAAGTAACTACTAAAGACCAAGAGGACATAAGTGGAAATTCAACCGATGTTAAACAAAACAAATTACTTAAAATACTTCAGATTAATGTATTTTACTTATCTAATATTACAATTAATGATGTAATGGTGTTGATTAAAACATTTTAACAGTTCTATTAAAGACTAGGCTCTAACATATAAGCAGCAAAAGACAACATCAGGCTATTTAATTTATGAAATCAAGATTAGTTTACAATCATTTTGGTAAATTCACTCCTGCACTGAATGATGTACTTCTCTGGTCTGGATCATCCTAACTGTGAGCTACTTATAGTTAAAGGAGAACTCACAGACTGTTACTGCTTCAATTTGCCGAGTTGCCTCATCTACAAAAGAAACCAAAACCAAAAAGTGACTGAAGGACATGAAAAAGTTAAGGAAAGGGCATAATTTGGTCAGATTTTAAATTTTCCACCTAAGACATGTCTCTCTGTTTCACTAACTCATCCTAGCTAATATAATCCGCCTGAAGTATCAGTTACGTTAGCAATCTAACTTCAGTTAATGACATTTTTGATGTGTCTAATAATGACCATGGTGACAGTCATACATCTACAATATATGTCAATGTATTGCATGTTCAGCAATATGTACAGATGGGGTGTACCACTGTGCGAGGGGTGCAATGGAACAGTCTAACTGATAATAGCTTTTATTTCCCGGTTAACTAGAACGCCACATCTTTTCAACTAAATCACACTGTTATACACATACACTGTCAGATTTCATCAGTATTTTAACATTGATCCAACATTTATATAGCACTGAGATTTCAATCTTGACTATAATGATAATGTGGATGAAAACTCTGCATCAGTTTAATGTCATCTTACTATCTGGGGCATTTTATCTACCTCACATCTATACCAATTTAGAATCACCAGATCTCCCCTGTGCTTTGAACCTCAGTGTGTATTTAGTGCAACAGAGAGCTTGGATAACCTCCAGCTCTATTGCAAATTGCAAAATCATGCCACCTTTCCTAAGCAGTGGTTCCACTGCACATTCAGACTGCCAGTTTCCACCGTGTCCACCTTGCTTTACCCGTCCAAATGGATGAACTCATAACCACTGCTACATTATCAAGTGGAGTTATACCGTACACATTTAGTACGGTACCATACTAAAGATATCACTAAAAGACCTTTAATCTCTTCACTGTTTACCCTCTTTAACTTGGAAAGTCATATATTGTATTTCTGACAATAAATTGTACTGTTAAAAAATTCAACTGTGAACATGTGAGCCATTATATAGATACAGTGGGGCAAAAAAGTATTTAGTCAGCCACCGATTGTGCAAGTTCCCCCACTTAAAATGATGACAGAGGTCAGTAATTTGCACCAGAGGTACACTTTAACTGTGAGAGACAGAATGTGAAAAAAAAAATCCATGAATTCACATGGTAGGATTTGTAAAGAATTTATTCGTAAATTAGGGTGGAAAATAAGTATTTGGTCACCTCAAACAAGGAAAATCTCTGGCTCTCACAGACCTGTAACGTCTTCTGTAAGAAGCTTTTCTGTCCCCCACTCGTTACCTGTATGAATGGCACCTGTTTGAACTCATCATCTGTATAAAAGACACCTGTCCACAGCCTCAAACAGTCAGACTCCAAACTCCGCCATGGCCAAGACCAAAGAGCTTTCGAAGGACACCAGGAAAAGTATTGTAGACCTGCACCAGACTGGGAAGAGTGAATCTACAATAGGCAAGCAGCTTGGTGTGAAAAAATCAACTGTGGGAGCAATCATCAGAAAATGGAAGACATACAAGACCACTGATAATCTCCCTCGATCTGGGGCTCCACGCAAGATCTCATCCCGTGGGGTCAAAATGATCATGAGAACGGTGAGCAAAGATCCCAGAACCACACGGGGGGACCTGGTGAATGACCTGCAGAGAGCTGGGACCAAAGTAACAAAGGTCACCATCAGTAACACACTACAACGGCAGGGAATCAAATCCCGCAGTGCCAGACGTGTTCCGCTGCTGAAGCCAGTGCATGTCCAGGCCCGTCTGAAGTTTGCCAGAGAGCACATGGATGATACAGCAGAGGATTGGGAGAATATCATGTGGTCAGATGAAACCAAAGTAGAACTTTTTGGTATAAACTCAACTCGTCGTGTTTGGAGGAAGAAGAATACTGAGTTGCATCCCAAGAACACCATACCTACTGTGAAGCATGAGGTTGGAAACATCATGCTATGGGGCTGTTTTTCTGCCAAGGGGACAGGACGACTGATCCGTGTTAAGGACAGAATGAATGGGGCCATGTATCGTGAGATTTTGAGCCAAAACCTCCTTCCATCAGTGAGAACTTTGAAGATGAAACGAGGCTGGGTCTTCCAACATGACAATGATCCAAAACACACCGCCCGGTCAACAAAGGAGTGGCTCCGTAAGAAGCATTTGAAAGTCCTGGAGTGGCCTAGCCAGTCTCCAGACCTCAACCCCATAGAAAATCTGTGGCGGGAGTTGAAAGTCCGTGTTGCTCGGCGACAGCCCCAAAACATCACTGCTCTCGAGAAGATCTGCATGGAGGAATGGGCCAAAATACCAGCTACTGTGTGTGCAAACCTGGTAAAGACCTATAGTAAACGTTTGACCTCTGTTATTGCCAACAAAGGTTATGTTAGTATTGAGTTGTATTTTTGTTATTGACCAAATACTTATTTTCCACCCTGATTTACGAATAAATTCTTTACAAATCCTACCATGTGGATTCATGGATTTTTTTTTTTTTTTTTTCTTCACATTCTGTCTCTCACAGTTGAAGTGTACCTCTGGTGCAAATTACTGACCTCTGTCATCATTTTAGGTGGGGGAACTTGCACAATCGGTGGCTGACTAAATACTTTTTTGCCCCACTGTATAAGTGTGCAGATGTCTATACATGCATCTTTTACAGTGAAAGAGTGAGCCTGTGGTTTCTGTTTGAATATTTCACCCATGACCAGTGTGTTTGCTTAAACTCCAGTTTAAACACCATCATACCCTACCAGTGAAAAAGCAAACATTACCAACTTGTAAACACAGTTAAGTCATTTAATTTGTGGGTAATATAAAGTCGACATTAAAAAAAAAAACAATTAAAAAACAAAAAAACATGCTGATCAAAATATTCCATTAATCTTTTTATCACAGTTTTGTTTTCATAAGACTACACATTACATTTTATTCACTGCTTACACAAAGTGCAAATTAGACAGCCTTGCTACTGCCTCTAGTGCCAAGTTTAAAGTCCTTGCTTAGGATATTAAATTAGGATTAATGACCGATTGATCCTAATCTTCCAAATCATGTCAAGCAGAGCTCTTGGACGTCGCTGAAACTTCACGATCATCGCTACGGACAGTGTCAGATTATAGCTGAGGACTGGATTATCACTGCTAATCCAATTACACATGGTGTGCTGTAATCGGCTGTGAAACTACTGTAAGTAAGGATGACCATTTGGAGACTGAATAAAAAATTGTGAACATGCACTCGTACCAAATAAATAAATAGGAAAGCTGTGGCTGTACCTAGAAATTATTTCCAAGTTTAAACGCCTACTGGCATAATAATTGATGTGTGGTTTGTAACGCCCAAATCTCTGTCGATACTTGACTATCTCTAGTGACATCGGACCATTTAGTGGTCAAGCAACCGGAAATAGAAAAACTCACAACCGATGACGATTTGACTCCACCTCATGATACCATTTAGCAACAGATGAGCAGCGCTTCATGTTCATTTTGTCGGGCCAGAGTGAAGCACAGCTGCTGCCGTGGTTTCCTGAGGGAATACTTCACTGTGTAAATGTTTGTCGGGGTTGCGGTCCGTCCCTCCGTCCCTTGCACCGTAGCTGGCTGAAACCGTTAGCGGCTTCCTCATCCAGAAACACCCCGCGTGAGTCAGTGCTGCTGCTAGTTTCTGCGGCGGTTTCGCTATGGATGTGCTGTGGATGATACCGCTGCTGCTGCTCATGATTATTCCGCTCCTGATGTGCACCAGCAGCACGTTTGTTTTTTATTTCAAAAAGTTCTTTTACGTGGCCTGGATGATGGTCTTGGCCCTCATCGGTATACCTCTGTGCATACTAAAGAGCGGAGGCAGAGACATTGAAAACATGAGGTGAGTTTTGCAGAAATGTCGCTCGCGGCGCCGTCTGACAGCTAGCCCTCGCTAGCTCGTTAGCTGGCTAGCAACCGTGGTTGTTTATATTGAAGCATTTGGGTTTTTACTCTCAGCAAAAACAATAATGGCCTCATTGTTGCGAGGAGTTAAGTTGGCGTTACAGCAATGTGGCGCAGGAGGTGTTTCCTGCCAAACTGTGTGAAATTTGAAATAAATAAATAAGCAGAAAATGAAGAAATCCCTAATGCAGTTTTCTTTATCATTCGTATGCTACTATTAGCTCGCTTGGCACATTGGCAGTAGCGGCGTGTGGACATTAGCTAAAAATCAGGGCGCTAATGTGACGTTGCGTTCATGCTGGGTTAATGTTTGGTAAATCTTAACGCCAGAAAAGCAATAATATCTTTAGATGACGGATATTTTCAATGTATTTTCTGCAGGCACTTTCTTAGAATCCCAACCCATACAAGTATCCACTAACTTGTGCCCTCTGAACGTGTAATCCAGCACTGTATCCGCTCAATTTGTCCTGTCTCTTTAAATCTGTGTGTGTGTGTGTGTGTGTGTGTGTGTGTGTGTGTATATAAAGGAGTGACTCATTTATTGAATCCATAGTTACTAGTAGTGCTGATTTAACTTTATATTTCTGTCTTATTCCACCTCATTTCATTTCTGTATTTTATGTATATAAGTTTAGATTAGTTATTTATAGTTGGTTTACACAGCGTTGTGTATGTATGTGTAATGTGTATATATAGACACGTGTGTGTGTGTGTGTGTGTGTGTGTGTGTGTGTGTGTGTGTGTGTGTGTGTGTGTGTGTGTGTGATTTACATTGCTGTGCTTGAGAGCCACCATCTACCGGAACCAAATTCCTTGTATGTGTGTGCACATATATTTGGCCAATAAACACGATTCTGATTATCTGCCTCAGTTTACATCTGTGTTGGGGGCAGAATGTTAAACATTTTACACCTGACACCAAAATCAGTCACCAAAACTGATCCTTACTGTAGGAATGTAACGCATCTTCAGTGTTGGTGTTCACGTTGTAGGGGGTGTTGTTGTGTGGTTGGTTAAATCTAGTCAGTGGTGATGGCTTGCTGCACACAAATGACTGCATTTCAGTAATTACCCTGAAGAGACAGATGCCAGATGGCACTTTCCCCTGATTGGAGCTGGGTTACTGAATAGTTATGAGACCCATCCTCAATGCAACCTCACTTGGCCCTGAACTGCTGACAGCAGCAATGTCGGTTACAACAGCAGACCTTACTGCCTCAGTGCTCCAGGAATAACAATGTCACAGTCATGTTAGCTGTGCCAGTGGTGTCATGTTGCACCAGTGTACCGTTCTATCAGTGCAGAGGTTATCTGGACCGGTTGTCTGTGACAAAGTGACCGAACTGAGGTCAGACCTTAGATGAATGAATAGACTTTTTGGATGGATATTTTACACGGCAGACAGGACTGGAAGAGAGAGCATTGTAATTCAGAGGGTTCTGTCACCTAAATTTACTGTTACACCAAAGCCTGAAGACTTGCTTTCCAGTCACTTTACCTCTGAATTAAACCTGTAGGCCACAGCAGGTATCCCTGAGTTCGCTCACTCAATAACATCTGTAAAGCATCAAGTTACAGCTTGTTGTGCTTTCATTTCTTGAAACACATCCATTAATTTACGTTTAATTGAAACTGTTTTATCCGTCACTTATGTGAATGGCTACTTCTGGGTAGAGCAGGGCGATATGGCCAAAAATATTTATCACGATATATATTTGAAAATTTGCGATAACGATATAACTGACGATATAATTGATGCGAGACAAAATACAACTCCACAACATTACTAGCGCAAAAAGACAACCTTCCATTTATTTTCACTTCAACAAGAAGCTGGTTTTTATGTACATTAAAGCTTTATAAAAATGTAACCGTGCAAATGCAAATTCCTTGCTGACAGTTTAACCAAAAGGCATTTCCAGTAGAAATGTGCTGACATATCCTGAGCATAACCATGTATAATATCCACTGAAGTTAAAAAGAGGTGCTTTGCAACATTAAACTGCAGTGTGCAGTACGTATTTTTCGGACCATAAGGTGCACGGGATTATAAGGCACATTAAGCGAAACAAAGCAGTCAGATAAATCAAACTTTATTAAACTCATTCTTCTTGCTTCCTCCACTTCTGTACCATTGATTCATTAATGTTGAATTCTCTGGCAGCTGCTCTATTCCCATGTTGTTGCAGTATATTAATGACTAACCTCGTATTGTGGATGGATTATCTCAGTTGTTCTCCTGACTGAAGTTTGGTCCGTTTACAGCATCCTGCCATGCGATTGCATTTGTCTCCAACTATCAGGAACTTTAACGTTAACTTTTATAAGTGGAAAAGTGTTAGTGTTCGTCCTCCAGCTTCACTGTTTATGTTATGCTAACATAGCTGTGTCGCTAGCGATCACGTAGCACATCATTATATACCAGCTAGCCCAACTTCAGTAACCCTACAAACATCACTGCTGTTTAGTTTCCTGTCTTCATTTATGTTGGAAGTGATAGCAGAGCTGTACGTTTGAATTTTTTCAGAAATCTCTCAGTCAGAACATGCTATATCATGCTTAGGTAACTAGCGAAACTAGCAAGGTAACTTCCGCTAGCTTCCTGCTAACTTCTAACGCCGTTAAATGTAATAAATTTTGTTTTAATGGATGCCTGGAAGCTAAACTTCATAGTTACACCTGGTAAAGCAGCAATGCTGATCGTTTTACTAAAGATGAAAGAATTTAGACAGTTTTTAACGCTCAGTGATGCTGCAGTGTTGTTTGACCTGAAGCATACAGCGTTTAGGACCCAGATTACTCCCAGATTTAAGAGCATCTTAGTCCGACAAATACGACAACAACGATGGCCGCTTGCATGTTCTGCAAAAAAAATGTGCTTTGTTGTGTATCTGATGGACAAACACCAAACCAGTTCCACATCACGGAAGTTGCACCATTTTTACAAACCAATTCTGGTTCATATGTTTCACTCAACAATCGGCCATGTGCGTATGAAAACAAAGGCACTGCGCATGCGCGTTTTACTCCCATTCTATCGCGATATTTCATTTTCCTATCGTTGCCTAACATTATACCGGTATTACCGTGAACGGTATAATATGGCCCAGCCCTACTTCTGGGTATGGGTTAGTTATTAGGTAGGATCTCATGACAACAGATAAAGGACGGGTTTAGTTTTCTCACTCACAATTGCATGAGCTCATGTTCTGTGCTGTGTAATGGTGTCGAACATCAGTGGGAGATTAGTGGCCCTGTCTTTTTCGTAAAGGAGTAATATTGCCACTCAACTTACTGTATTGAAAACAACCAGTTTTTTTTTTTTTTTTTTTTTTTTTTTTTTTTTGCCATAGTATTTCTGATGGAAGTAATTGTTAGCTCTGTCACCCTGAGACTGTGATTAGATGCCTGTCCTTTGGACAACCTACTCACCTTAAACTTGTGAGTAAACTCAATAAGATTGGCAGTTTTACATTTTGGCAAAACAGGTCAGGCTGACCTTTGGAGTGGCCACATTGCATATGATTTGTCCTCTTGTTCAAATTTGATTGCACTCTCAGGGTTGCAGATAATGAAGTGAACCAAAGTAAATGCTTAGTGGACTGATCATAAAATATAATTCAACAGCAGTCACTCATTACCCTTGAACATAGAGTTGCTGCAACACTATATCGTTGCATAACCTGTGGCTTTTACTTCAGACCGAATGTGTTATCACTGCACCACTATGTTGTAAGATAACCAAAAGACTACTCTAGTTTAAAGGTTAACAACATTTTTCCTGTAGATTACCAGTCAAGCGCAAGTGGAAACAAAGTCTACTACAGTCATCAGAAGATAGTGCTGAGAAATAGCGTACCACCACTTACTACTTTATATTTTGCTTATAAGGAGCCGGACTGTGTTGCATTTTTATTTAGAAGTGGTTGAGTAATGGTTCTGCCTGAAGGTTGCTTAAAACATAAAAAAGGGCACCTGTTATGTCCACACATTATAACTTATCAAAGAACCAATTTTAAATTGTTCAAATGGTGAAGAACGATTGTCTAAGAGAGTTTAGGCTGTGTTGAAGAATAAAGCTGGTCATACCAAATATTAACTTTGCAGCTTGTTAGAATTGTGCAAACTCAGTTGTTTTTTTTGTTTTTTTTTACTCTTTATGTTGTAGTTGCATGTATGCTTGCACATTTCAGTAAATATAGTACTTATGTCCTATATTTCCTACCAAAATCTAAAGACATGAATTGTGGTTCAAGACTTTTTTTTCTTTTTTTTTTTTTGCTGTATTTTAGTAAGAAACTAGGTCCAGTGTATATTTGAAAAAAGAATAATCTGGTAGTTCTTTTTTTATTTTTTTTATTTTATTTTTAAAGTGTAGAGTAGAATCACTATAAAATTCTTAAAAGACTGCATGTGAGGCCTTTGTCAGCAGAAAAGGGTGTGAAATTAAAAAAAAAAAAAAAATACAGTTAAAAGTATAAAAAATTTTGCCCTTCATATTTTCCAAAGCCCTCTAGCAAACCGAACTGGAGTCTTTGCTGGACCAATTCTAGGTCCTGAGCCTTATGTTTGACACTCCTGCTTTCGAGTTGGCAGTATTGAGTTGGGATGTGCCTAAATCCTTAAAGCTGCTCCTTCATGGCACATTATTAGCATTAGTGGTGTAGTTTTAATGAGTATGTGTGGCATCAGATGCACGTTATGGCTGAAACTTGCTCAAAGATGGTTTTAAGTAGTTAGGTAGATGTTTTAGTCCATCGACACATTTTGTGTACAGTCATGAAACTGAGCTTAAATGAAAGCAGAGTTGAAGGTGAGTTTGGTTCCTGTAATAGCTGGTTTAGCAAGAAAACTACCCCATGTTACAAGAAGGATAGTTTGTTGTTTTTGTGACAGCAAGCAGAGGGAATATGATTCAGGGATGAGCAAGGTCTCTTTTGTAAGTATTATGTATAGTATTATGTATAGCCTCTTCCTGAGGCCAGATTGGTAGTGCCTCTGCTCTTTTTCGGAGAAATTTCATTCAGATTATTGACAGAAGCCAGTTTTAGTGTGTCACACAGCTAGTTTGCTATCCAAAATTAGTGGTACAGTTTAGCATGGAGAATGTTATGGGAGTATGATTGTTCAGCTGCAAATGTAAAGTAGCATTTGCATGATGTGTGAACTCTGCCTGAGCACATCATGGTTGTTAAGAATCACACTGAAAGTTTTCCAAGCCAAGGGGCACCTTGGATTTGTCTTAACAGAGGTCAGAGCTGTTATCATGTTTGTGTCTATAAAGGTTAAGCTTTACAAGTCCCAATAGATCTCATCTGGTGGATCAGACAGTTTCAGGCTTTTAATAGTTGCAAGGGGGAAAGAAAAGCTTTAAAAAAATGGTTTTGTTAGATCATCAAATCACATTTATAAACAAGCACATGCTGACTAACAAATAGCTACAGTAATCACGTCATTATTGAACTTGAGTAATCATGCACAGTGCAGCCCAAAAAAAACCTTGTTTCTGTTGAATTTTTTTTCTTCTTCTTCCCTTTTTTTCCTTGTCCATTGCCTCATTGCATCAGCGAACCTCAGGTCACGAATGCCCTGACAGTAGGGCTGCACGATTTTGCATAAAATGAGAATCACAATTTTTTTTTTGGCTTAGAATTGAGGTCACGATTCTCTCACGATTTTCTTTTCCAATCCATCCATCTTCATCCGCTTTATCCGGGGCCGGGTCGCGGGGGCAGCAGCCTAAGCAAAGAGGCCCAGACCTCCCTCTCCCCAGCCACCTCCTCCAGCTTATCCGCGGGAATACCAAGGCGTTCCCAGGCCAGCCGAGAGATATAATCTCTCCAGCGTGTCCTGGGTCTGCCCCGGGGCCTCCTCCCGGTGGGACATGCCTGGAACACCTCACCCAGGAGGCGCCCAGGGGGCATCCTTGTCAGATGCCCGAACCACCTCAGCTGGCTCCTTTCGATGTGGAGCAGCAGCTGCTCTACTCTGAGCCCCTCCCGGATGGCCGAACTTCTCACCCTATCTCTAAGGGAGAGGCCAGCCACCCTTCGGAGGAAGCTCATTTCTGCCGCTTGTATCCGCGATCTCGTTCTTTCGGTCACTACCCACCGCTCGTGGCCATAGGTGAGGGTAGGGACGTAGATCGACCGGTAAATTGAGAGCTTCGCTTCTTTTCCAATATAAATATTTATTGCACTTATTAACTGTCAATTAACTTCGCAACAGTTGAAACTGAACATAAAAACAATAAATAATCATAAAAACAACAAATGTCTCACGTTTTGTTGTTGCCGCAAAATGTTGTACTGCTTGAAATTCCGTCTCCACCGTTGCTCGACACTGCGTGTATAGAGCAGGTAGTGCAACAATAGAAAAATAGTTGCGGGACGGCACTGTGTAGCGTTTGTCTAGGGTGTTGATCATTTTCCTAAATCCCTGGTTTTGCACAGTGTTGATGGGAGCCATATCTTTGGTCAGGTGATAAGTAATAGCCTCCAAAATTTCTTTGTGCCTGCGGGAGTTCGACGGGTACAGGGAAGCGCTGTATAAGGTTCCCGTTATTGATGTTTGGGTGGTTGACCGGGACGGATTTTCTCCTGTCACTTTTTCGTCATCTCTGACGTGCTCTCCGTTGTTTTTTCCCTGCTAATTTTAGCATCACACGGCACAGCTTCTGTATCACGTGGTATAAGGCTCCGCCCTTGTCATTTGTTGAACAGGAAGAGTGAGCGCTTGTTTTCATGCAGATTACGTCCCGGATAAAAATGCGGTACAGTCGTCGTTTTTTTTTTTTAAATCGTTGTCATTTGGAAATGAGATCGCACAGAAGTATGAATCGAGATCGCGATTTTCTAACGATTAATCGTGCAGCCCTACCTGACAGTTTCTAGTAAAATTTCCTTGTAACATGTTTTTTTTCTTTTAACCCTAACTGCAAACAGATTACTTTTTTGTGATACTTGGAGAGCGCTCCCATGGAAGCCTATAGTTTTGTGAGTTATTGTAAGGTCAAAAGACGGCTGCTTTTGTTGTTGTCAGCAGACTAGCTCTGATAAACGAACTCTTCACTACCTGCCTATCAGAGTAAGACAGATAGTGACTATCTTGCAACGAGATAAAAAAATTAAATGTTCAGATAAATAAAAATGTGCATCTACTTTGACTAATCACAGCCTGTGTGTTCTTTTATGTAATGTTTGTCTTGAGGCAGGTGGATGAACATTGCTTTGTCAATGGTTACTGGAGCGTTATACTTGGTGAAAGTAATTATTTCCCCAACCAGGAAAAAAATCAATGCTTAAAGGGGTGTTGAACATGATTAATTTAGCCTATGTGTTTAAAGATAGTTGTGATTATATTGCCTGACACATTCCGCTTTTGTTTCTACCTTTCACAGGGCTTTGGTTAGTAATATGCAATACACTGGCATCATAAGTAACCAGTACATACTCACTGTATTTAACCTTTTTCTCTCTTTTAGGATCATCCGTTTCATGGTTCGACACGTCAAGTATTTGCTGGGTCTTCGATTTGAAGTGAGCGGTTGGGAGCATCTGCAGACCGAGGGTCCCTATGTCGTCATCTCGAACCACCAGAGCTCCCTGGATGTTTTGGGTGAGTCTTTTAGTGCTTCTCTGAAGACGGACGTTTTTGATATTGATTTAAATGCTTTCAAATACAGTCATACAATCAATTTCTTTTGGCATTTTAGCAAAAAATATAATTGGTGAAGCAGATAGAAAGGGCATGTGGATAAAGAGAAGGGTGTGCAGTAAAGGTCCAGCTGGCTGGGAATTGCTGGGATCCTGCTTGGGGCATTTGCACCCATGCAGGATGTCTTTACTGCTCTGTCACCAGGTAGGCCTGTTTGATGACACACTTAAAGGTTATTTGAAACACATTCAACTCTCTACTTATAAATGGTCATAAACATCAGATTGAAACGTGTTGAAAGTTTAGCAGTGACAGCGTGTCTCATCTGTTTCTCACTATACACCGACTTTTAATCTGAGAGGAAGAATGAAGCAAGGCAGTCATGCGGACGGCAGATTTGTCTCAGCTGTAGTTTTTGTGCTTTTAAGCCCTACAGACTCAAGAAAACAAACCAAGAGTAGGAAAAAGAGAGAATCCTCACCAGGGAAGAGTTGTTTTACAGTGAGTCCAGTTCATCCTGAGCAACTTGATACCAGATATGATGCATGCGGTCCTGAACATTTTAGCTGGAGGAGCAGCATTCCTCTGCAGTAGATGCATGAGTCCCAGATGGAAGAATTGTACCGTTAAGTAGGGCTGGGCGATATATCGAGTTTTTTTTAAAAATATCGATATATTTTCATATGAGATATAAGATGTGACAATATCGTTTATATCGATATAGTCTATGTTACGTTATAATTATACTTGTGGAGCCGCAGGTTTGCCTCTCTTTCGTCCACTTTTGTCTCTACGCAACGTTACTCGGCCTCGCCTCTCCTGCACTGAACACAACTCCCCCTCCCCCATAGCTTCACCTGCAGGCAATGACAAGATGAAAGCGGAAAATCTCCGTTAGCGAGTTACCGTGCGTGGGGCTGGATGGCGTCAACGTGTTAGCGAGCTAACCGCGCTAACGAGCTAACCGCGCTAACGACATGCAGCCCAGAGGGGCTGCACGGCCTAAAATCCTTTCCTTTTCTCAAAAATCGACAGTGCGCCTTATGTATGAATTCTGGTTGTGCTTACTGACCGCGAACCGATTTTATGTGGTACACAGCGCTCAGCAATCTGTCAAAAAATGTTTTAATATGACTTTGCTAAGCTATGGAGCTGCACCGCTTGATGGATTGTCAGAGGATTACGGCTACCAGGGAGGAGCCTCGCGGAGTGATACGTACTGTGTGTGTATAAGGACCACAAATGGCACCTGTTCAGAGAGGTGGTGCAGCTGTGAAATCTGTCTCTTTGTTATTATGCTCAGCGTCTATTAGTTTACATTTTGACTGCACAATTGTGAGCTTTTTGTTATGCACAAAAACAACATTGTTTTCTTTTATTTATGGACCATGATTATTTAATATATGCTGATAATTTATTTTTGAGTAATATCTACGCTGTATGTAAATAAAAGTGCCCGTGTGACATCTGGGACACAGTGTGACTAAGAACTCTCTTTTTGTTCTTAACTTATGGCTTTAAAAAGAAAAATCGAGATATATATCTTATATCGCCATCCAGCTAAAAAATATCGAGATATGAATTTTGGGTCATATCGCCCAGCCCTACCGTTAAGCTCCAACCATGGGAATTTTTGAATCCCACCTTAATATACGGTACATGTGACAAATCTCTACCTCATGACCTAAAGTAGGAAAGGAAAAGCTGATATTGAGCCTCGTCGACTGATGGCTAATTTAATGTCTGCTCCAATCACACAGGCCGAGAGACCAATCAGGGCTAAAAATGTATTTACCTACTGGCTTTAGGAAGGCGCTTTTGTGTCTTGGTGAAATTGAACACAAAGAGGTTTAGGATTACTGTGATTGCGCTGGTCACTAGCAGATTACTCTCGTCACCTGTACATTTTGTAAGATGGATGATGCCAACTTGTCTGCAAACAGTTGCCAACTATTCACCAAGCAGTTAAGAAAATTTGAATTGTAAACACAAACTGAAAATAGGAAAATGTTGTGCTTTTGGAAATGTGTTCAGTGGCCCAACTTTACTTTGGAGGCATTTTGCAGCTCCAGTTTATCGCTCTTCTTCAAGTTTTACTACCAGTCTGTGGTTAGTTCCCCGGTATCTACAGACAAGTTGGCTTCTTCATGCAAACCGCTGGCAAAACCACAAAATATGCATATTAAATAATACAAGAACGAATCTTGAATATCAGAAGAGTTCATGTCACCTGTATTCTGGTCAGCATGTAGTGATAGCTAAACTCAAGCCTGTGTGAAAGCACAAAAGCAACCAGCTAACTGGTACAGATGTTTGCAGTTGGCTCAGTTCCTGCACATGTAGTACCAGATGCAACTTGTTTTTGTGTCAAACTTTATCCTTGGTCTCTCCTTTTGAAAGTCATATACTACTATCTAGAGCAGGGCGATATGGCCAAAAATATTTATCACGATATATATTTGAAAATTTGCGATAACGATATAACCGACGATATAATTGATGCGAGACAAAATACAACTCCACAACATTACTAGTGCAAAAAGACAACCTTCCATTTATTTTCACTTAAACAAGAAGCTGGTTTTTATGTACATTAAAGCTTTATAAAAATGTAACAGTGCAAATGCAAATTCCTTGCTGACAGTTTAACCAAAAGGCATTTCCAGTAGAAATGGGCTGACATATCCTGAGCATAACCATGTATAATATCCACTGAAGTTAAAAAGAGGTGCTTTGCAACATTAAACTGCAGTGTGCAGTACGTATTTTTCGGACCATAAGGCGCACGGGATTATAAGGCACATTAAGCGAAACAAAGCAGTCAGATAAATCAAACTTTATTAAACTCATTCTTCTTGCTTCCTCCACTTCTGTACCATTGATTCATTAATGTTGAATTCTCTGGCAACAGCTGCTCTATTCCCATGTTGTTGCAGTATATTAATGACTAACCTCGTATTGTGGATGGATTATCTCAGTTGTTCTCCTGACTGAAGTTTGGTCCGTTTACAGCATCCTGCCATGCGATTGCATTTGTCTCTAACCATGAGGAACCTTAACGTTAACTTTTATAAGTGGAAAAGTGTTAGTGTTCGTCCTCCAGCTTCACTGTTTATGTTATGCTAACATAGCTGTGTCGCTAGCGATCACGTAGCACATCATTATATACCAGCTAGCCCAACTTCAGTAACCCTACAAACGTCACTGCTGTTTAGTTTCCTGTCTTCATTTATGTTGGAAGTGATAGCAGAGCTGTACGTTTGAATTTTTTCAGAAATCTCTCAGTCAGAACATGCTATATCATGCTTAGGTAACTAGCGAAACTAGCGAGCTAACTTCCGCTAGCTTCCTGCTAACTTCTAACTCCGTTAAATGTAATCAATTTTGTTTTCATGGATGCCTGGAAGTTAAACTTCATAGTTACACCTGGTAAAGCAGCAATGCTGATCGTTTTATTAAAGATGAAATAATTTAGATAGTTTTTAACTCTCAGTGACGCTGTAGTGTTCGTTTCACCTGAATCTTACTGAGTTTAGGACCCAGATTACTCCCAGATTTAAGAGCATCTTAGTCCGACAAATACGACAATAACAACGGCCGCTTGCATGTTCTGCAAAAAAAATGTGCTTTGTCGTGTATCTGACGGACAAACACCAAACCAGTTCCACATCACTGAAGTTGCACCATTTTTACAAACAAATTCTGGTTCATCTGTTTCACTCAACAATCGGCCATGTGCGTATGAAAACAAAGGCACTGCGCATGCGCGTTTTACTCCCATTCTATCGCGATATTTCATTTTCCTATCGTTGCCTAACATTATACCGGTATTACCGGGAACGGTATAATATGGCCCAGCCCTACTACTATCATTATTCTATGTCACAATGGTTATACATAACAATTCCTTTTTTTCTGGATCTAAGTAGCTACTATTTCTGAGCCGTACTCCAATTTTAATGCTCGTTCCTTTGTATGCAAACAGGAACTGGGGAATATGTAAATAATGACAGCTACATTGTGGGTTATGCCATGCGAAAACACTTTGTGATCAGACTGCAAGATTGTCTGCGGCAGCCGTGATGGAGCCAGACTGTGATCTGGTCTCATCCTGTCACAGTTTAGTTCTTCTCAGCCAGCAAACAGTGGAGCAAGACTTTAGCTGTGCCACCATCTACAGCTTTATAGCTCAGTTCATTAAGGGAAAGTCTGCACAGGCTACTCACAACTTATTGGAACCGAATGTTAAGGCCTTCCAGGTGTATCTCACTTTACACTCCCACCTACTTAAGCAACGGTCACCTTTTCTGGTTTGTCAGACAGGCAGTAGGCATGTTAAAACTAGGCCAATTGTTAGATTACTGCATTCCAGCTTTGTGTTGGTACACAGTGCTTGTCAGAACAGAACAGTTTTCACAACCTCTGTTGATACAGGATCACATGCTGTTTGCTTCTCAGCAAGCTGAATAATACAAAACCTGGTGAAGAAACAAAGCACGGGCACAGAAAGAACCTGTTACATTGGTATGGGTTTTTAAACATTCTTTACATACTGATCACTTACTGTATGAATGAAATGTAGGCCTCGCAGAACCCTGTCTGAGCTACACACTGGTCGAAAACAAAAGCATGTTGTAGAAAGGCTTCGATTCCTCTTTTATTTATTTTCTTCAGCTTGTATTGTTGATAGTTGAGATGTCTTTTAACAGTATCTCATTCTTCCCTGTTCTAAACCTGAGTGTTGAGGGACGGTTTCTCTCCATCAGTGTGTGGGGGAGAGGGTTTTTCAGCACCGGTGAGTGATGAGGGCAGGCTCAAGGCCAGGGTAGTGATAGCAGGAGGAGAGCTAGGCGTCTAATTAGCACTGACAAAACTCAGCATGCGGTTTGTTTGGCGTCCAAGTTGCCATGCCGACTGCTTCACCCCAGCCATTAGGAGATGCTGATCCTAGAGCAGATGTTATATTAGTTTCTTCACCTTTCTGAGCTGCTTTTTCAGCTTGGTTTAAATGCATCTGCTCACCTGCTGTTTTCAGAGTAACATCTTATAAAGAGATAAGACAAAGAGGCCAAAGCATGGATGTTTTCATCTGGTCACTGATCCTTCTCTGAATGAGCTCCAGTCAAAAGGCAGAAACATGTGATTTCAGTTTGGGTGTTATCCCCTTCTAAGAAAGCGCCACTTCAGACATGTAGCGGTGCTACAAATATCCCATTCTGACCACTTATCAGGGTTCATATCCAGCTCTTCGTGGAGGTGGACTCTCTGCTTTGAGAGGGCGTATTTTTAAAGTCTCTATGGTATAAGTGCATTGCATTTGGGGTATTATTTAATGACTGAAAGGAAGACAATTTATTATAGTAAAAGTTCTTATTGACTCTCTGTAACTTGTCATATTAGCAAACTTTGAAGCTACAAAGCAGTTGCTTGTAGAAAGCTGTGCGCTTAACTGCAATGTCTTTAACTTTTATTTTAATTTATTATTTTTATATTTTAGTTTTAAAAGTAGTTTTTGTGAAAACTGTCACCACAAGGTGTCACCGTTTCACTAGGTTGTAGTATAGCATTACATTTTTATTTTTTTATGGACATTTGAAATATGTTTAATTTTGAGAAACTGCAGTCTCTGTGCTCTTCTAGCTGCCAAAATAAGTCGGGTGCGTGTGATAGAATCATGAACTCTTTACAAGTATTGAGCTAACATCTGGTATATCTCATTTTGGACACAGCAGATTGGACTTACTGCACCATCTTGCGGTTCAAAGTGGTATTACATGGAAGTACAGCCAAGCCCTGTTTGTACTACAGTTGTCTCTCATACACTGCACAAAGACATCTTGGAAATGGAAATGATGAGCTGTTGTTTCTTTGCCAAAACCAAAAAACCCCACTATGTACATACAGTAGCTGTGATGGTTCTAAAAGTTTCATGATCCTGACGGTTAAGTCTCGTTTTGTCTCTCAGGCTTGATGGAGATCCTACCAGACCGCTGCACCACAATTGCTAAGAAGGAGCTGATCTATGCCGGTACAGTGGGCCTCATTTGCTGGCTGGGCGGGATCGTCTTCATCAACCGCAAGAAGACGAGCGATGCCAAAAGCGTGATGGCTGATGCCGCCAAAACCATGTTGGACGACCAGGTAACCTGCCTCCAGTTAACACAAGAAACATCTTCATCTCAAGGTTCTGTTGTAGTCTTTGTTAGAGAATGTGAGCTGGTTAAATCAACCTTGTCTTATGACTTTCACAGATTCGTCTGTGGGTATTTCCAGAGGGAACCCGTAACCAAAATGGCGACCTGCTGCCCTTCAAAAAGGGTGCTTTCCATCTGGCAGTGCAGGCACAAGTAGGTTTATTTATTTGCTTTAAAGATCTTAAATCTTACCTTGTACGTAGAGTGAAGGAGCGTTAGAGCTCTTCTAGCTTTTTGCTTCATCCATACATGTAAACATCCTGTTTATTCTCTTTACTCTGTCAGGCTGTGATGATTCTGTTGGTATTTCAGGAAGCTTCTGCCAGCTTAGGGTTCCCAATAGTGAGGGGGCCGATTCCAGACATGTGGGGGAGCTAGCAGACTTATGTGGGGCAAGACTAAATTATGAAATCATAATTTAGTAGAGAGCACAGCTTGCAGCCAGGTCATTTTCTATGATATTTTTTCGGCATTGTGTTTGACACAATGCTAGTGCGCTCTCACAAAGTGATTGGTGGGACAGCAGCAGACATGACCTCCAGTTCAGAATGGCTGCAGCTCAGCTGTGCAAATTTATGAGCTTTATCTCTGCGTGCATGCAGGTGGGAGGTCTCTGTTCTCCAGTTAATTCATATTTTCATAGCAACACTCGGGGTCAGAAAGGTGGGATAAATTACACATACGCAAAAAGAAAAACACTCTCGAATGAGACCTAGCCATGAAGCTACAACGGTGTGTGCATGTGTGAACCCAGATTTTGTAACTTGCAGCTGAAGATCGATATCAGTCGGGTTCAGATATGCACCAGAGTCTGCAAAAATAAAGCCCTGCTGCTCCTCGTTAGAAAACACATTAATATTTTGGTAAGAGGTTCTTACGCTTTAGAGCGCTTGCTAACGCATTCTCCAAACAGTGTTTAGTGGATGTTAACAAAAGCACTTTGTTTGCATTTGAAGTGCTGGAGTAACTCCATTTGAAATGTGTTGAATACAGTCTGTTTCATCTTTCCCTGATGGCTTTTTTCTTCTTCTTTTTTACACACTTGAGACTGTTTCTCTCTCTGCATTTGCTTCTGCTGAGTTAGGCCAGCCTTTTCATTCGTACCCGGCCGGCCAGATTGAGTGGAAACAGGACAGCCCCCAGGGGGAGCCGCGTTTGGCTCAGTCAGCCCCACTGAAGGGCCACTCGGGGCCTTGAGACAGAGCAACTCGGCCTCTATTAGCAGGAGTGGAGGAGATGGAGAATGCTTGTGTCATGCTGAGTTTGTGTGTGTTTGAAGAAATGTGCTGCTGGTTTAATCAGGCATTTCGGCCTTTTTTTGATTGGTTTAGAAAGCATTTCCTTTTAGGGCTTCTTTTCTGTCTCTTTTCTTATTTTTGCCTTCTTTTTTTTTTTTTTTTTTTTCTTCCAGGTACCCATCATACCTGTCGTTTTCTCCTCCTACAGCAACTTCTACCTACGGAAAGAAAAGCAGTTCAAATCAGGTAACTGTCCTCAACTTTTTAATTTGTGTTGGGTCAAATGACAATAACATTAAAACAACAGCTTGATGTTCCCTGAGACTCCTGACTCTAAAGTTTTTTGGGGTTTTTTGCCCCTGCAGGAATCATCAGATTGAAGATCCTTCCAAAGATTGAGACAAAGGGGATGACTTCAGACGATGTGGCATCCCTGTCTGACAAATCCTTTGACCTGATGCGCGCTGCCTTCCTGGACATCTCTGACTCCATAACCCGGAGCAACGGGCCCGTAAGGCACTGAACATTGATCTTCCACCCGCCCTCTGTTTTTTCAGCCCCATGTCTGAGATCCACCCCTCCCCAAGGCCCCCCCACTCTCCGCCCCAGGTTGTCCCACCGCCTTCAGGAAACAATGTGACACAAGTCTTTTTGTGACGAAAGCTCTTCATGTCTAGTTGACGCCTGGTCCGGTCCACCTCTGGCCTGAGCACACAGCACAGTCAGTCCTGACCCTCACTGTCGCAGCAGCAGCTGCTCTGCACTTTGTGAGCGGAGTGACGGACGGCGAGCCAAACAGTCTGGGTGTGTGTTGTTCATGCATGCCTTTTGGATGGCTCTGTCCACCTTTCATCCTTGCTTTGGAAATCTCAGCTTTCTTATTGTCTTACTTTATTGCTGTTTTCTACTTTTCTTTGGTTTTTTATCTTCACCTGCTTTTGTTCGTTTTGCCTTCTGTTCAGCAGATAAACTTTGCGGGGTGGTTTTTTTTTTTTCCTGATCATAAATGTCAGTGGATATTTATGTTTTCCTCTCATGCTGCCTTGGTTTTAGTTCTCTTCGGATGCTTAAACAGACATACACAAAATCAAAGTACCCCATCTCATTTCTTCGCTTTTAGTTCTTTTCTGTTTCTCCCCTTTATGCATTCCAGTCTTTTGCCCAAAGACAAAAATGAGTGCGGGTCTCCACAAAGTGCGGAGCGTGTGGAAGGAAAGGACACCCACGACTTTCTATAGCTCTGTCGCTCTAGATTGAACTCTGTATCCACATTGGCTCATCAACCCAATGACCAATAGCTCCATGACACGCTTCATGATGTCAGAAGGCAAGGAATGCAAGATACCGTGTATAACAACAGCACCCATCTGTACTGGATTTATGGACTTCAGTGAACTGATCAGTTCTCAGTGTCGTATGTTGGTGTATCCCTGTACATTCTTCCAGTTTGTCTCTCTCTCCAAAAATGAATTGAAGCAACCGGTCTGCAGCAAGTGTCCTCCAGCAGTGCTCTAAACTCAAACTCTAATTTCACACTCTTGCTTTGTTGTTGTTGTTTTGTTTTTTCAGGATCACCTTTATGCTCCTACTCATATACAAAGTGTCAAAAGAAGTGAATTCTTTAAGTGCAATGTCCAACTGTTTCAACGTTACTACTGTTCCAAAGTGCGAGCTACCTGCTGTGCCATGACAAAGATGTTTTGGGAGGTTTCCAATGTGCGTGGGGTGGTTTATTTTTGTTTGTTTGTTTGGGTTGCTGTTGTTTGTTGTTTGTTTTTTTGTTTTTGTTTTTTAATTACTATCTCCTTACGGTCTACTTAACTGGTGACCCCTGAAATTATTTAAGGCAGTTCTTGCCATAAACAGGGGGAGGAAACCTATGAGATGATTTAGATCTCTAGTATTTGTTCATTTATTAGGATTAAATCAAGGAATCCCAAAGTACTAACAAACTCAAGGATCTAATGACTGAAGATGTGTTATGTTGATTGGGTGTGATGGGAAGCCTGTTTTTTTTTTTTTTTTTTTTTTTTTTTTGTTTTTTTTAATCCTATGAGAATAAGTTATTATATTTAGTTATGATGTTCTGATTATTTAACCTCACTGGAAACTATTAGATTATTTAAACAGGAAAAAGTGCAAAAATTTGGCCTGAATTTTGATTGTTGGCATCATTGGGTGAGTTTTGGTTAAAATCGATTTGTTGTATGATTTGTACTGAAAATGTCTTCGGACCACTGACTGAACCGCTTTCGTTTACACCCAGGTCTTAGTTTCACTTCGCTCAGAGTGCAGCCACAAAAATTATTAATTCTGCCCATCAAACACAATCTGAGAATGTACCACAGCATTCAGGACAGTTGTTTGTTACTAATTGCAATTTTTGAAAAAAATGACTTTTGCTTTCTTTATTAAAACTGTGACGTTGCTTTGCATGTACTTGGCATCAAATGTAGGTGACTTATTGGGTTGAGCACAAGGCATTAGGCTTAGTCTAACCTTGTTGTGCGCACTGACCTCCTGAGGAGCTCATGTGAATGGATTTATGGATACTTTGGTAGTATGCCCTGCTACGTGCGTTGCTTTTCGTAGTTGAGTGCACTTAGTGAGCCCTGCTTTGGTGACATGTGAGAGTCTGATTTCAGACAAGTTCCTAATCCAGTTTGGATCATAAGCCCTTACTATTAATCAATACTAATAACTCACCAACCTGTTCTCTATTATTATTATTATTATTCCTATTATTTTATGATTATTATCATTTTTTGTTATTTTTCTTTTTTCTATTCTTTTTTCTATTTTTTTTTTTTTTTTTTTTTTTTTTTTTTTTTTGGATGGGGGGGGGGCTGTCTAAGACCAGTTTATACCTTTGCAGCAGGTGTTTCGAATGTTCAAAAAGCACTCTACCAAATCGGTTTCTTTCCAAAAACAATCTATACCATATACATTTATTTAGTGGAGTGTGCTATCCATTTATTCCCTGTTCATTGTGTGTGTGTGTGTGTGTGTGTGTGTGTGTGTGTGTGTGTGTGTGTGTGTGTGTGTGTGTGTGTGTTGGGGGTGTTTTGTACAACAGATTGTGATTTTGTTAGCTTTGGCTAACAGGCTCTGCAACAGTCCTGCCTGTTTAATTCCCCCCCCCCCCCCCCCCCCCCCTTTTTTTCTTTTTTTTTTAAAATTTATATATATAAAATCTTTTGTCCCCCCCCCAATAGGGCCGTTGTTTACAAACTAATATGTAAGATATTGGAAAATATTCAAAGTATTCTTAAAGCACTTTTCATGCCGAGTTCTCGTGGGCAAAAAAAGTTTGTTTTCACCAAAGCTATTAATGTGTAATTTAGATGGATATGAGAAACAGAGCTGACATCCTGCAGAGCCGTGTGTGTGTGTGCGTGCGCGCGTGTGGCCCTTTATTGTATGTGTGTACATATGCACACATGGTATAGATGCCCATTATAAGTATCTGGTTAATATTTAATGTAGTGTTCTTGATTTCACATATTCTGGGTAAATGTGAATGCCTTGCATAACATTAAGTAAATAAATTCTTTTTGTTTTTTCTTAATTGGTCGTGTACTGAAATGCCTGTCTTGCCCTCCTCTGGGACTCATTTTAAAATCAACAGTGGAAAAGGTACTTACTGTATGAGACTCGGCAGTAATGGCTTTAATCTGAGGCACGACAGAACTTAGTTTGTTCCAGCTGTTTCTAGAAGTTCTCAAAGTTCACCGCACACCATCAGACCAGATCCACACATAAGCTTCGTACAGTTGCAGCAAACTACGCTCCGACTTAAAGTTGGGGCATAACGACCTGGAGGTACTTTGTTTCTATTTTCACTTTCTGCTACTTCATATTAATATTCCACATTAACTCTGTGACATTTGACTGCGTGTTTGCAGACATGTTGCACTGTGAAGCACAAAAAGTGTTCTGAGACCTAAAACCTTTTAATTTCATGGAGCAAAAAGGGGGGAAAAGACATTGCATTGATGTACTTTTAGGGAATTATGAATTTTCTAGAATGATTTCTGATTCTAAAGCAATGATCCCATTTATCTACAGAAAACAATCATTGTACAAAACTGTATCTATGTAAAGCATCATTTCTCATAATGTGGACTGTAGATATATTTTTTTTTTCCAAATCCCATTTTTCCTGGTGTGCTTTTACTGGAAGTATCTGAATACTTTTACCACTGATTGCAGTATTTCCTGTACACACATGAGGTCAGCAGGTTTGTAATTGCACTCTTCCATCAGCATTGTAGACAAGCTCACATATCTGCACACATTAATCAGTAAGTCGTGTTTTTGATTAGGAAGTTTTATTACAAAATGTTACAAAACTAGTTATAAATGTCTATTGGAGCACTGAGACAGACCTACAAGTAATCATAATTTAAATACATAAATACAGATGCCCCAGGTCACTTTGGGACAAAGCTGCACTGGTGAAAAACAAACTAAGTAGCAAGTTTGACCTCTGACTCTAACAGGGGAGTTTAATTGAGACGTTCCTGGGGTGGTGTAATAGTGAAACTGCCCCCTACCACAGGTACTGTTAGAAAATCAACAACGTGACAGTGATTCAATGAGAAAAGTAAATGAATCTGTCAGGAATAGTAAAAATCTCAAATGATTTCCGAGGCGATTACATCACGGCATAACGAGGACCGAGGCACTTTCTGACATCTGCAATCTCTTTGCTGCAAATGCCAGCAGTCTTGGCACGTCCAGTCTGGCAGGTTTGCGTGGACGGTAACTTTACTGGAACAATGGTGGCCCTGTTCAGAGGCTAATTCTCCTGACATGAACCTGCAGGGAAGAAGATGAAAAGACTTACCACAGGTATGTTTATAACTGTGGATTTTGAAATATGATTGAAAACACTGGGCGCTATCCGACATGATTTCCATTAAAAGAACGATACTTTTAAAAAAAATAGAACTGTATTCCTGGCTCGGGAGACCTTTTCAAAGAATAGAAAAGAGGTTGGTTTCAAATGCTTTTAAGTGTTTGGATTCCCGAAGTAGCTATTATTAAAATGCAATCAATCTAAATTTGGTTAAGTTTGTTTATATAATTAAACATTTACACTAATGTTGATGAATATATTCTGGTTAAAAACAAGTTAAATTTGATAGAAGACTTGGTTGTCTTCATCTTGTATGCCATTTATTCTTCATCTACTTTAAAATACCAGCATGACGGTGCAGGTTGTTAAGCCGAATGGGATGTGGGCTCGTGTGGCTGCACAGTAGCAAGAAAGTGTTTTTTAGTGAGCACAGCAGAGACTGGAGTGTTTAAATAAAAAGCGGCATGTCTGCCGCACGGCTAACGCTGTTTCAGCAGCTCTTCAACAGAACACCATTCTCCAAAAATCCCTTATTGTCTTTTACATCCCGTCTCCCTCCCAACAGCCCAAACCAGCTGTGGCAGACAGCTGCTCCTTGCTGCTCCTGGTTCTGTTGGAGGTTTCTTCCTGTTAAAAGCGAGGTTTTCCTTCCCACTTTTTCCATGTGCTTGCTCATGGGAGGTTTTCTCTGTATCATTGATATGTTTTTACCTTTTAGTGACTGTTGTTGTGATTCAGTGATATATACTAAAACTGAATTTAACCCCTGGTTACTCCTTTAGAGCCACTGTTTGTATTTTTTTATGATAGTTGGATAGACTGCAGTTCCGTATAACCAATACACAACTTGTGATTAATTATAACATTTCTGCAACGTAGTTTGTCTAACATAGCTGTCCATGAGCTTCAGCTGTGCCTAATTAGGTTAAACTTTAAGAGCAAATGTGTCATTTTTAGCTTGTACAGTTTACTGTATTACATCATAATCAAAGCTTATTACATTAGAGGCACAAGATTGTATTATATTGATGGATTGGATTGTGAATTTTATTACATTTGAGATTTTGTGTGGCCTCTTGTCTTTAATTTGACTTTTTTTGTTACAGATCCTACTTTCCCAGGAAACCAAGTTCCCGTGGAGTTCAACAAAATACTGGCTTTTAACTTATGAACAATAAAAAGGGTCAGTCTGTGTAGTCACTCACATGTGCCAAGGCGCTCCTCCAGAAAGCCGATCTGCTCGCTGAGGGAGTCGATGCGATCTAGCTGCTGGAAAGAGTGGGATAGCAAGGTGGTTTTCTCCGACATGCCCTCATCCAATGACAGTGGGAAGAAGCTGCTGAAGGGCGTCAGCACCAACTGCAGCTTCTTAACAGAGAGATGAGAGGAAGTTAGGAAAAAGAGAAAAATGTTCCACATGAGGACCATTACACATCGTTATTTTATATATTCATCCATTTGCTCTTTATAATTGTTTAACATGAGAAGGATTTTAGTAAACTCGTGCAAGTTTTAAAAAGCCACTGTGCAGGCCTGGCATATCTAAAAATCTTTGGTTGGGGGATTAAAGAGCAGCTAAGATGTCAGATCACACACAAGGCTCAGAGGTTTTCCTGGTGAGCCAGACTGGGAGGTATCAGAGTAGGTGGCTTTTATATGGTTGAACATGTGTTCTTGAGTTTTCCTGTGTACCTTTTCCAGGAGCTCAACTCGGTTCCTCAGGCTCTGTACCTCCTCTGTCACATTCTCCACCAAGCCAAACTTTCCATCTATAGAAAACCACACAAATGCAGACATACACATCAGAGTGTGGTGACTTCAGTCTGAATCTGTAGATACAAACTGATGAGGAGCAGAACAGAGAGAGGGGTAAGGGCATGGATGTGATGATGCGTGAGAATGATGCAGAGTATATATTGCATTGGATTCCTTGGAGCATCTAGGAAGCCCCCTTCAGTCCCTCCTCGAATGATTCATGACCACTGCAATGTCTCCAAAGTATAAACCAGGAAGAAGACGGCAGGGCTGCTGAGAGAGAGGGGGAATGCAGGGCACAGAGGGGGGAATGGCCCAAAAAGCCAGTAGATAAGCTCAAAGACAGATCATGAGAAACATACAGGCAAATATTCATTCCTCCTGTGATTTGACTGTGAGGAAAAGCCTGGTTGTCTCCACTCGAAGGGGAATGTGTCTGCTGCAGGCCTTCGATCTGTGCCAGATGTGGCCCATTACTGAGACAAGAATAAGTTGAGAAACAGGGTGATGAAGAGGTGGAGGTTCAGGAGAAGAAAGGGGAGGGGGAGCTGGCGATGGCCCCCAGCAGACGGGGTTGATGTGGCTGGAATGAGAACACAAGTGTTGGCCAAGAACAGGGTGAAAAGAATGCAGGCGAGAGGGGGGGTAAAGACTGCAGCATAGAAATGTAGTCCAACACCCCTGGCATAATATCACTCTGATATGTGCATATGAACACAAATAACAGAAAACTGTCTCAGGAAAGACATCTTACAAAAACATTGCAATAATTATTTTTGCCTCTGACACAGAACACATTGCTTTCTTAAAGTACAAAAATTTGTCATATTGGCTTTTTATTTCCCTTTCCTCTGAGTGTTTTTCTGTCCTTTTCGCAGACTCAGCAATGCTTCCACTGATCTATCACCCCGAGTCACGGAGACGAGCACTTTCCTTTGAACAGAGAAAACTCGCTCAGTGTGAAACTCGATAAACAGAAGGGAGTCTGGAGCAGAGCCTGAGAAATTTGGCAATCTCACACACTTTACAGAGAAATATTTCTTTTTCTGCAAGTACAGGAGACACTCTCTCCTTTTGGATTTTAACAATGTGGTGACTCACAAAAAAAATCCCCCAAGTTTGAAAGCTCAGGATGAGGTACGTCTT